CAAAACAGAAGAGTCTCAGTTAAAGCTAAAATGACAAATTTATACAAATAATGTAAGACCATCTGAAAAGAGCAAATGATATGAGTATGTTAAATGTAGTCTTCATAACAGGGAAAATGGACCTTTTTAAAGACTCATTACAGGGCTGGAGAGCTGGCTTGTTGGTTAAGTCCTCTGCTCTTCCACAGGACCTGGGTTCAATTCCTAGCACCCAGATGGCAGTCCACAATCATCTTTAACTCTATTTCCAGGGGACCCAATGCCCTCTATGTCTGCTGCAGGTACTGCATGTATGTGGTACATAGGTATACATGCAGGCACACTCACACGAAATATAAATACATCTTTACTTGAAGGTAGTGGCACACACCTTTAATCCCAGCACTTGGGAGACAGTAGCAGGTAGATCTGAGTCTGAGGCCAGCCTGGTCTATAGAGTGGGCTCCAGGACAGAAACTTGTCTCGAAAAAGAACCAAAATAAGTAAGTAAATAAAGATTGATTATATAAAATACATTTTTTGAAGCAGAAGTGAAAATCTAACCACAATTCAGAAGAATCTAAAATACAATCTGTCAGCAGTGCCTACCTCCTCAGGGAGCGTTAAAGAAAGACTTGCATCTCCCCCACTAATTTAAGTCTTGTGAATTGTGCAAATGTAGTATTTTTACAATTTATAAGATTATATACTTCCAGAGGATCCAAGTTGAATTCCCAGTGCCTATATTGCTCAACTGTCTGTAATTCCAGTTCCAGGAGATTGACATCTTCTTATCAATGCACATAAAATAAAGTTAAAAAAAATTCTTCTTTGGGTTTGGAATATTGTTCAGTGAACGAGTGCTTGCCTAACAAGATGAGGCATAGCCAGGTATGGTAGCACACACCTTAAGTCCCAGAGGGAGAAGCAGGTGAATCTCTGGGAGAAACCAGACTGGTCTATTTAGTGAGTTCCAAAACAGCAAGAACTATACAATAAACCCTATGTCAACAGCCCCCCAAAATATCACCCAAAAAGATGAGGCATGATTTAATTCCAACCAACACAAAAAAACAAAAGATGAACTCTTGATTTTCTGTCATCTGTTGTTTTTACGAACATGTAGTTTTCACTGTTAGAATAAATATAATTTCTCTTATTAACTGTATAGCATTCCAACATATGAATGTATTATAATTCATTTAACCAATCCATTATGAAGAATCGACGGTTCTGACCTGATAACTTTCATTCCAGGAAGGAATGAGCTATTCAGAGTATATTATACTGCATCTAGGGTAATGATATGCCTAAGAAGTAAATCAACTCAGGGCCCAAGAGTTGTAGTCAGGCTGGGTCTCTCTAAGAGAGTTCATTTAAACAGAGATCAGAAAACTGAGAGAATTGGAGGCACACTGATGTCTTATGGAAGAATGTTAAATCAAGAGCAAGTATAAGCCAGGTATATTGGTGCAGACCTGTAATTCTATCACTCCAGAGGTGAAGGCAGGAGGACCAGGAATCCAAGGTTAGTCTTGGCTACACAGTAAGTTTAAAACTAACCTGTTGTCCAGAGATGCTCAAAAGAAATCCCACACTTTCTCAGAATGGAATATAATAAAGGGTTATTTATTTAGGGATAGACTCACAGACCACAGTCCTCTGTTCAAACGGGGAATCCAACAGCCTGAAGAGAGGGAGCACACTTTACAATGGCATTTATAGTATAAGGGGCCACACCCAAGTGGGTGGGTAACTAAAGGCTCCTGCTGAAGGATTTTCCTACAGCAACCTGGGATATGTAAGATTGTTTTACAACCACACACCACCCCGAAGTGCAAAGGTTTTGAAGAACAAAGCTGGTAGTACTTGAAAAATAATGCAATAAAAAAGCATTAAGAAAGTATTATAAAAAAATACACAAGACCTGGTTAGAAAAGTAGAGAATAGCAAGAGATGGGGGAGGGGGCAAGCAAGCCATGCAGGGCCATTTTAAGGACTTTTAAAACAAAGATGCCACAAATGGACTTGGACCTCTATTTGCTAATGAGAAAAATTAAAAGGAACAAACACAGAAGCAGGAGTCAGGACGAAGTCTCAATGGGAGATACAGACTTAGCTACAGTGGAAGTGTGGACAGAATTACGAAGAGGAATTCAGAGCATATTCTGCAGGTAAAATCAGAAAGATTTAGTGCTCTGAATGTCAGGTAAAATATAAAGAGATAAGAATAAACATTTTTAGCCAGTAATAGAGGAAAGAGCAGACAATTCTGAGATGTGTAAAACTGTAGAAGAAATAAATGCTGAGTGTAGAATCAGAATGATGAGTTCAGCTGTGGACATTGACATTCGATACACTTATTGGACAGAAAAAGGAGATGACTGGAGGCAGCTGACTGTACAGGTCTGGAATTCAGGGCAGAGATCTACAGATAGAAACTTAAAAGTCTTCTGTATACAGGTGACAGGTTTTAATGACAAACTAGATGAGCTCTCATGTAAAAAGTCAGCATAGTAGCACACATTGGTATTTATAATCCAAGCCGTGAGGGGTAGATGGAGACGGGCATCTCACTGGCCAACAAGTCTACCCAACTGATAAATTCAGTGAAAGTCCTTATCTCACTTAGTAGAGTGGAGCTACTCTAATGTTGACCTCTGGTCTCCATACATGCATCCATACATGAACATATGTCCCACACATACAAAAGAAAAAAGGACAGGAAAGTCAGATCTACAGTAAAAATCTAATAGAGATCTTTGAATGATAGACAGTGGAATTGAATTAAACACACACACACTACCACCAAGTGACTGCATTCTCACAGCAAGGATTTTAGGTTACCCTCTAGCCCACTACAGCCCTGGCATCAGCTATATGACAGACTTACCAATCAGACTGCCCTGATGTCATGGAATACTTTCTTAGCACTATTGGAACTTTGCCTCAAGAATAGGAAAATACTCATTTTTTTTTTCAGAGTTGTTTAATCATCCAAGGAATGAGAACCCTTTTCTGTAGAGACAGTATGGCTTATCCTAGGGAGACTTAGGAAACAATGTGACCTAAAGATCTGAACAATGACTCCTAAGACATTGTATTCCTTTCCCCTCCTAGAACTTTCAAACAAGCTTTCAAGAAGTAGTTTATGATTTATGTAATTTATGATTCCCTGATCCAAATTTTTAAATTATTTTTATTTCCTTTCCTGAAGACGCCCAACAGGGCTGCAGAGATGGCTCTCTGGTTAAGAGCACTCACTGGCTGCTCTTACAGGACACAGGTTGGTCTCTGGACACACACTGAGTAGGTCACAACCATCTGCAACACTTCTGGCCCCATGATTACCAGGCATGTATATGGTATATACACGTAGCATTCACATGGTACACAAATAACACGCAGGCAAAACATTTATAACACAAAACTTAAAACAAAAACAAACAAAAGATACTGAACACTTCCATTATCTTTCCAAATAGAGTTGCATGTAGGTTAACAGCTATGATATAATCCACAAAACAGAGAATCAGGGATTTTTATTACAGAAAACGGACATGAGGCAAAAATGGGATTGGTGGTAACTTCTTTTTTTGAGAGATAGGGTGGTCTTGTTCAATATTCCACAGGAGGCACACATCTGTAACTTCAGCACCCAAAAGGCTAAAGCAGGATTGCCTCAAGTCTGAGGCCAGCCAGGGCTACTATGTGAGAGCCTGTCTTAAAAAAAAAAAAAGAAGAAGAAGAAGCAAGGAAGGAGAAAAAGAAAGAAAGTGAAAGAGAAACAAAAAACTTAAAATGAAAAATAGGGTCATCTTGTACATTTATACCTTTCTTGGCAAAAAGAGGCAGTTGATAAGACACAGAAACTAAGAAAAATAGAAAATTTTGATTCAAATTATATTATGGTAAATTACAAGAAACCAAGATTTTATACCATTTCCTTTCTGTCTCTCTGTCTCTCTCTTCTAGAGAAAGGGTTCTCATATAGCCCAGGCTTGCCTCAAACTTACTATACAGTTAAAGATAACCTTAAACTTCTGATTCTCTTGCTTCTACCTCTCTGGCACTGTGACTAAGCCCAATTTTATGTGCTGGGAACTGAACCTGGGCATCACGAATGCTAGGCAAACACTCATCAACTAAATATCAGTCTAAAAACATATTCTTTAAAAAGAGAAAAAGGGGCTGGATAGATGGCTAAGCAGTTAAGAGCACTTGATGCTCTTCAGAAGACCTGAGTTTAACTCCCAGGATACACACCAGATAGGCTGCAAGGGATCTGACGCATCCCTCCCCGTTGGGCTCTGTGGGCACCAGAACACCAGTACACATACACATATACTCATAGGCGAAGTTGAAATGAGTAAACAGAACATTCCTTTTACGAAGTGAGAAGGCAGGTGAGTAGACGACACACATATACAGGGATGCCCTCTTCAGAAGAGTTCCAGCCTACAGAATAAATTACACTACTCAAATACTAGTTTGCACAAGTGTTAGGTGGAGATTGGTGCTTTCTACTTAGGTGAAATTTTGTCTGAAATGGAATCTGTATTCTCTTTACTTTTTTGTCAACCTAAAATCACATTTTCCTTCCCACTCTAGCCTTTGACAAGAGCATCCTCTCCTAAGAGCTTCAGCCACAGGGACTAGGTGAAGTACTGCTTTAAGAAGTGATGAAGAAGAGCTGGAGACCGCTCAGCAGCTGGAGAGCTGGACTGCTCTTTAGAGGACTCAAATGTAGTTCTGAGTCCTCATGATGGACGGCTCACAACCACCTAGAACTCAAGTTCAGGGGATCTGACATTCTTTTTGGACTCTGGGTACTCGTTCACACATGTATACCCACCAACAGGCACACACATAATTTAAAAAGCATATCTAAAAAAATTTTAAATTGAAAGTATTTTAAATGATTAAAGAACAAAAAAAATCATCCTTTCTATTAAAATAATCCAGCTTCATCAAGAAATCCCAAAGAGTAAACATTTTTAAACATGCAGCTTTCTACTCACAGAGACGAAGGTAAAGCAGAGGCCAGCTCCCCGTGGTGCTAACTGCTCTGTGTCAAGGCGAGGTTTCGCTAGCATCACTGACATGAGGGTTGGCAGAGCAGACTGCTCTTCTGAGGCCTCCTTCGCAGCACTGCCATCTAAACCATATAGGGGCTGTTCTACTCGACGCTGGAAAACAGTAAAGAAAACACACAAATGACATGAGAAAGATAACCAGAATGCTTACAAAACATGCAACAAGTTAGAATGGATATCGTAAAAATGTATGATTCAAAACACAAAAACCGCTCTGAAAACAGACTATAACAACATGGTCACTGCATTGTTCAAACCTGAGCAAATATCTTACTCAGATGATGAAAAAGATATTCTAATAATTCAATTTTACATAACCCTGAAGATGCAGATTAATTTGTATTATTCAGTAAGTCACCTTCACAACACTCTCAACCTTACACGGGATATGTTTTTCCTATCCTGTAAGTAAATGAAGAACTAAAATAACTGCTGTGTGGCCTTATAGACAAGACTTTATTTATTACACTCTGTATTCTACTTTCAGTATCTAAACTAAATGCAAAGAAATCTAAACTAAATGCAAGCAGAGCAAGCGTAGGACAGTAAAGGAGAAACATGCCACAAGTATATATGGTTTATGCCAGAAATTCATGGTTAAACATTAGCAAATCTAAAATAATTCACTCATTACATTGATGATAGAAGAAAAAAATCAGAATTCTTTTTGGATCATAAAATCAATTTGTACATTGTCAGGCAAGATATTTAAAAGTGTCATTTTGGATGACATAATTATTCACAAAGATTAGTCAAAAAACTTCAGTAAGAGAGACAAAAGACGGTTCAAAAAAAAGGCAACAGCATAGCTACACATCAATCATCAATTACCATCAGCAAGTAATAGAAGAAAACTACATTCAGAATAATAAAACAACATCAAAAAACATGTAAAATACTGACTATGAAAAAAGCAAACAGCTTCACAGCTGAATATAAAACAATCTAAGCTGGTTCAATGACCTATGCCTTTAATCTCAGCACTGGAAAGCTGAGGTAGCACATGCCTTTAATTCCAACACTTGGAAAGCAGAGGCAAGTGGATTTCTGTGAGTTCAATGTCAGTCTGGTCTACAGAGAGAGTTGCAGAACAGCCAGGGTTGTTACACAGAGAAACTCTATCTCGAAACCTACTCGTTAAAAGAAATTAAATACATTTCTTATAAAATACAAATATTTATAGGACATTAAATAAATACAACTGGAATAAGAAAAACTAGTATGCATATATCCTAGACTCTAAAAACACCAACTGCTTTTAGGGGGGATGGTGCTGGGGACTGTCCTGCGCATGCTTAAGTATATCTCCAGTTGTTGGGTTTTTTTTTTTTTTTTTGGAGGGGGGGTCCTTAGACAAGGTCTCACTACTGTAGCTTTGTCTGTCCTGGTATTTACTATATAGACCAGGCTGGCCTCTAACTCAGAGATCCACCTGCCTCCTGAGTGCTAAGATTAAAGGTGTGCTCCAGCACCCCAGATCATTTTTATGTTTTCTTTGAGACAGAGTTTCACTAAATGGGGTACACTGGTCATCAGCTTGCTCTGTAGCCAAGGTGGGCCTAGACTAGAACTTACAATTTTGTCTCGGCCCCCAGAGAAGATGAACTGCCAGGCCCCAGCCCCAGTTCTAGAAAGGGCTGTTTTGTTAAGGGACTTTACAATACAATTTTTTTGTGTACACAAACACACACACACACACATCCACATGCACGCTTTACCAAGAACAACTTCTAAGCTATAATAGCATATATTTTAATCCACATCTAGTTTTATCTTACTATGACTTTCAAACAAATTTTTACAGTTATTTTAGATATATGAATGTTTTGTCTGCATGCTTGTATGTGCATACATACATGCCTGTTGGGTCCCCTGGAGTTACAGGGCTGCAGATAGTTGTGAGCACCTGTGTGAGTGCTGGAAATCAAACCTGGGTTTTCTGTAAGAGCGACATGCTATGTCATCTCTCCAGTCTTTTAATTTTTATGACAGGGTCTGGTTATTTAACCTCAAACACTGACCCTCTTTGCTTCAACTTCACAAATACTAGCGACCACAGCTGCACACAATGCCTGGCTATTTAAGTATTCATTATAGAAAGTAAAAGTAAACAAATTTATCAAATGCTAATGATAAATAAATATAGTCTTCTAATCAATAAGTAACTAGTCCTCCTCAAGACCAACAACACTCCTACCCTACCACTACAGCAGCCTAGGCTGGTGCTCTCAAATACTGTGATACAGGTGTCACTATAGCATGCTTACCAAGTCAACCATACTGCCCTACACTCAACAAAGACTTGACAGGGTCTAAAGTCTTTAAAGTTTTCTGGATAAAGGCAGGCTAAGATGCTTGGATAAATCTTCCCTCAGAAAGCAAATTTAAAGACACACTACAGACAATGGGCACAGCTGAGCGCGCTATAGAAGTGCACACAAACAAGGCTGTGGGTGGGCCTTTCATCCACACCAAGGTCCTGGACAGACCAGTAAGGAGGCATAGTGAGATCTTGTATCAAAACAGAGATTTTTTAAAAGGGCAGAATAAATAACATAAAAACATCAAAGACTTGATAAAAACATATAGGATCTGCTAGGACAAAATCTAAGAGCACATCACGAGTAATATCAAAGTCATATACGGTCTCAACGATACTTGCAGACAATCATTTCCGATCTCCAGGGCACCATGATGTCAAGTAGCCACTGAATCAAAGCTCACCCAGGCAGAAAACTAAACAAGAAGCACACTCTCCATTTCCATGGCAAGGTGGCCTCCAATGAGCTCAACTATGCTCTTAAGAGTGAACCAAGAGAAAACGTTCTTCCTTCCACCCTCAAGTGGGCTACAAGGAAGTTGCCTTGGCAATGCTGGGGATCAGGACTTAGAAAATGTTAAGACAATCCAAATCAATTTTTTGAAAGCTGAAACAACAAAACCAGCCAGAATAAACCAACCAAACAAATATAGGCCTTAAATTTGATAAAAGTTGAATCAGAAAGGTAAACTTTCTAAGAACTAAGAAGCAAATAAAAATTCTTCCTTGGGACTGGAAAGATGGCTCAGGGAGGGGTTAAGAACACTGGCTGCTCTCCAGAAGTCCTGAGTTCAATTCCCAGAACCCACATGGTGGTTCACAACCATCTGTAATGAGATCTGGTGCCCTCTTCTGGCTTGTAGGCAGAACACTGTATACATAATAAATAAATAAATCTAAGCAATCTACAGATTCAACACAATGCCCATCAAAATTCCAGCAAAATTCTTCAAAAACCTCGAAAGAACAGTACTCAACTTCATATAAAAAAGCAAAAAACTCAGGAAAGCCAAAACAATCCTGTACAATAAAAGAACTTCTGGAGGTATCACAATCCCTGACTTCAAACTCTACTACAGAGCTACAGTACTGAAAACAGCCTGGTATTAGCATAAGAACAGACAGGAGGACCAATGGAACCGAATAGAAGACCCGGATATCAATCCACACATCTTTGAACACTTGATCTTTGATAAAGAAGCAAAAAAATATCAAATGGAAAAAAGAAAGCATATTTAACAAGTGGTGCTGGCATAACTGTATATCAACAATGTAGAAGAATGAAAATAGACACATATCTATCACCATGCACAAAACTCAACATAAAGCCAGTCACACTGAACATTATAGAAGAGAAAGTGGGAAGTACACTTGAATGCATTGGCACAGGAGACCACTTCCTAAATAGAACCCCAGCAGCACAGACACTGAGAGAAACAATTAATAAATGGGACTTCCTGAAACTGAAAAGTTTCTGTAAAGCAAAGGACATGGTCAACAAGAAAAAATGACAACCTACAGAATGGGAAAATATCTTCATTAACCCCACATCAGACAGAGGTCTCATCTCCAAAACATACAAAGAACTCAAAAAATTGGACACCAAAAGATCACATAATCCAATTAAAAAAAAATGGAGTACAGACCTAAACAGAGAACTCTCAACAGAGGAATCTAAAATGGCTGAAAGACACTTAAGGAAATGTTCAACATCCTTAGTCATCAGAGAAATGCAAATCAAAACAATTCTAAGATTCCATCTTATACCTGAAAGAATGGTCAAAATCAAAAACACTGATGACAACTTATGCTGGAGAGGTTGGGGGGAAAAGGGAACACTTCTGCATTGCTGGTGGGAATGCAAGCTAGTACAACCCCTTTGGATGTCAGTGTGGCGATTTCTCAGAAAATTAGGAAACAACTGTCCTCAAGACCCAGTAATACCACTTTTGGGTATATATCCAAAGGATGCTCAATCATGCCACAAGGACATGTGCTCGACCATGTTCATAGCAGCTTTGTCTGTCATAGCCAGAACCTGGAAACAACCTAAATGCCCCTTGATCAAAGAATGGATAAGAAAAATGTGGTACATTTACACAAAAGAGTACTACACAGCAGAAAAAAATAACAAAATCTTGAATTTTGCAAGAAAATGGATGGAGCTAGAAAACATTATTTTGAGTGAGGTAACCCAGACCCAGAAAGATAATTATCACATGTACTCACTCATAGATGGTTTTTAAACATAAAGCAAAGAAAACCAGACTACAAACCACAATCCCAGAGAACTTAGACAACAATGAGGACACTAAGAGAGACTTACATAGATCTAATCTACATGGGAAGTAGAAAGTAGAAAAAAAAAAGGTCTCCTGAGTAAATTGGGAGCATGGGGAACTTGGGAGAGGGTTGAAGGGGGGAGGGGAGAGACAGGGAGGAGAGCAGAGAAAAATGTAGAGCTCAATAAAAATCAATTAAAAAAAAAAAGAACCAAAGAGAAAAAAGAAAACTAACCTATAAAAACTAAATAAATAAATCTTTAAAAATATTCTTCCTCAAAGAACAACTGTATCCCCAGTCACAAATAATTTTTCATTAACACTGAATACCTCACTAGAAAACTAAGTAAAATGAAATAAAACCACAAAAAAACTAAGAAAATCAATGGCAGAAACAAATTGATTAAAACCTCAGATGCTAGTATAAGTTAACAGACTATAAAATCATGTACAATATGTAGAGAAAATAAGAGTTCAGTGGTAAAATACTTGCTGAAAAGACCTGTGGTTCAACCCTCAGAATCACAATAAAGATTTTCAAAAATAAAAGGGGCTGGAGAGACATCTCAGCAGTTAAGCGCATTCGTTGCTCTTGCAGAGGACACAGAGTCAGTTTCCAGTACCTACATTATGGCTTACCACCATCCATAACCCGAGTGCCAAGGGACTGGACAACCTCTTCTGACATGGGCACAAGGTACACACAGGGTTCACATACATATACATGGACAAAACATTCATACACATACAATAAAAATTTTAAATCTTTAATATATAAAAAAATGAACAAATAAACAAACCTTGAAAGAAAAAAAGAAACAGCAGAGAGCTTAAAAAAAAAAAGCTGTAACATGCTCAGGCTAGAGACAGTTCACAGTAGAGCTTAGTGTGCAGCATGGTCCTGGGGTTGAGCCCAAGACCTCAAAGAGACAAACAGAAGCAGTAACAAAAATTAAGAATTCAATACAGGGGCTGGAGAGATGGCTCAGTGGTTAAGAGCACTGGCTGCTCTTTCAGAGGTCCTGAGTTCAATTCCTAGCAACAACATGGTGGCTCACAACCATCTGTAATGAGATCTGGCACCCTCTTCTGGTGTGCAGGCATACATGGAGGCAGAATGTTGTATACATAATAAATAAATAAGTCTTTAAAAAAAAGAATTCAATACAGCTAACAGCAAATGAGAGACAATAAAACAATCTGGAACTGAGCAGCAAAAAGAAATAATCTACAAAGATGCATAAACAGACAAAAGAATAAACAGTATGAAGTCAAGCGGCAAGGGAGATAATGCAGAACAGCATGGAGCAGGGATGATAGACAGTAACTATTCACAACTAAAGAAGCACACCAACCCACAGATTCCAAAACCCCTGAGTCAAGACCAAGAAAAAAAAATGTAAAAAAACACATGTTGAAACTTCAGAAAACCAAAAGCGCAGCCACAGAGAGGTGGGGATATAGCTCAGTGGTAGAGCACTTGCCTAGCATGCATGAGACCCTGGGTTCAATCCCAGCATAATGAAAAATAAAAGTGAATAAAAGGCCAAGCGTGGTGGCAAATAGCTGGAATCCTAGAATACGGGAGAAGCAGGAGGATCAGAAATTGAAGTTCATTCTAAGACTATATAGCTAGTTCAGGGTCAGCCTGGGCCACATGACATACTGTTCCAATTAATCAATAGCCACATAAATAAATAAATGAATGAACAAACAAATAAATGAAATACAGAGTTTCTTTAAAAGAAAGATTTATATAATACATGAAGAAAAACTCCAACCACATTATACTGGCCAAGAAATATATTAACAAAAAGTTGATTGTATATAAGCAGAAATATTTAGACCACATAATGGTTTGGATATGCTAAAATCAGACAGATCACATTTACAGAAAAGAGCTTTGAATTGGTTCAGCAGTGCTCTTCCAGAGGACCTGAGTTTGATTTCAAGCAATATACAGCAGTTCACAACTATCTGTAACTCCAGACCAAGGGATCAGACACCCTTTTCTAGACTCTGCAGAACAGCACACAAGTGGTAAACAAATATAAACACAGGCCAAACATCCATACAAATAAAATTATTTTTGAATAGCTCCAAGGAAATAAAGATATCTAACACATAGGCAAAGTTTAACATAAATACATGAAGAAACACCACTACAATAATGAGAAATACCTACACTTAACTGATAAAACAAAGAATCAAATTTAGAGCCTGGTACATACCAAGCAATGTTCTTTTTCTTTTTCTTTTCCTTTTTTTTCTTGGGACAGGATTTCTCTGAGTAGCCCTGGCTGTGTTGGAAATCTCTGGGTATACAACTGCAATGGCTATGGGGGGTATCCTAAAATGTGGGCATCTAATTGGTTGGTGCTGGGACACACACACACACACGCACACACACAAATAAAAATTTTTTTTAAAAAAAGCCAAACAAATAAAATAAATAAATAAATCATTTACTGAAAGGGGGGGGCACAAAATGACACTTTATTTATCAACTCTTCCTTTTCAACAATTTTGAGAAGCCATTGGGTCCCATGCATTTTTGGATGCTAGAGACTGAAAAATTGAACAAGATATCTCTTGTATGTCAAGTAAAGGGAATGGTTTAAAGTAACTTCAGTTTTATATAATAAAACACTAACAGATGAAAATAGCAATGAACAAGAAAATACAGCAAGGTGTCTTCTCTCACAAGGTTAATATTTTAGCAAGAGGAGGTGGGTAATGAGTTAATGGTTAAAAATTAGAACACAGAAACTGTCAAATAAAAACATACTAATATTAAGGTTGAGGAGAAGGCTAAGTTGGTAAAATGCTTGAAACTGCAAGCATGAAGACCTGAGCTGGATCTCCAGATCCCACTTCAAAAACAGCCAGGCATGGTGGCACATGCTTTTAATCCCAGGACTCAGGAGGCAGAAGTATGTGTGAGGCCAGCCTGGTCCATATAATGAGACACTGTCTCACTATCTCCCTAAAAAGAAAGAAAGTAACACAAAAAGATAAAACTGAAGGGGCAGGGAGAGAAAGGCATAGGACACTTGAAGCCAAGTTTCACCTTCTAAAACCATCTGGTAGAAGGAGAGAACCAACTCCCACAAGTTGTCCTCACATTCTGTAATGTGCTTGCATGCGTGCACAGCTGAGCGTGCATGCCTGTGTGTGTAAAAATGGCCATGGTGGTACACACGTGTAATTCCAAAACTGGAGAAATGGGGACAAAGAGATCGCTGTCAGCCAGTCTAGCCTACTTGGCAAGTTCCAGCCCAGTGAGTGATCATGGCTCAAAACAGATGAAGGGCACATGAAGAATGACATCCATCCAAGACTGCCTCCTGGCCTTCACATGTATGCACACATACGGAAAAGTAGGTGTACCCTCACACACAGAGACAAAATATAAAACTGTACTACATACTAAAAGCATTGAATGATCTACAATAAGCAAGACAAGATGAATAAATCTCACAAAGGTAATACTGAAAAAAGTAGCCAAACACAATTCATATTGTATGATTCTGCTTATGGAGAGCAGCTATGCCTGTGGAAAGGGCTAAAGTGGTAAGGAACACAATGGTTAGTAATGGTTGGTTCCTTATGCTGCTACAATTTGTGCAAACTATGAACTATTGCATTTGTATTCTCATACTACTGTATTTGTATTCTTATAAAAATAGAAATCAGTTAAAAAATTAAGGATATAACAAACTTTGTGGGTGGAGGTGAAAGGAGGAGGGAGAGAAACTGAGAGACAGAGCAACAGAGACAGGGTGGAGCAATAGCTAAATGGGCAGAAGGACTTGCCATGCAAGTGTGATGACCTGATTTCAAATCCCAATACCCACAAAAATGCTGTGCATGGTTAAGGAGCTTCTGTCATCCCAGTACTCCTATAGAGATGAAAAGCAGGGACAGAATATCCAGATGCTCAGGTCAGATGACCTGTACATGTAGTACTGGTGAGATCCTATCTCAAACAACCTATAAGGCAAGGACAGACACCCCAGGCTGTAGTCTATATATATGTGCAACTGCACACCTATATTCCTGAGTACATGCATGTGTACACGTATGCATGCACACATAAATGTATACATGCATATCACACACACACACACACACACGCACACACACAGAAATTAAAGCAAGATTGAAGACAGAGTGACCATGTGTGAGGAAATGTTATTTTAGAGAAGTTGGGCAGGGGAGACTACTCTGTTAAGGTCATTTTTGAGCAACATCCTGTTGAAGAAGTTGCTGGTATCTGCCAAAGAATAGTTCTAGAAAAGAGAATAATGATACAAAGGCCCTGAGTAGAAGAATGCTTCACAGTGCTCAAGAAAGCCTGCATGACTGCTGCTGTATGGGAGACAAGTAGGCAGGAACGAAGAGCAGGCAGGAGCTATTAGGCCATGTAGCAACTTTATTACAGAAAACCATTCAGTTTTGCCGAGGATTGGCAGAGTAAGCCTTTACTTGTTAAACTGCTTGAGCTACAAAACTACATTAGGCAAAGTTAAAGCCATACTGTAGACTGAACCCAGGGCCTTGCAAATTCTAGGTAAGTGCTCTACTATTAAGTTGCATCCCAACTTTTTTTTTTAAAAAAAAAAAAAAAACTAAAAACAAAAACAAAACCCAAAAAAACTTTATGTTTACTTTTACCCCAACTCCTAAGATCCCAGGTAAAAACACACTGGTCACATTATGGACAGTTAAGTGTTAAATTATCAAAAGATGCTAGAATAAATTAATACAAAAGCCTACATTAGCTAGTTCAGGAAGTACCAGCATCAAAACTACTATTGACTTTTAGGTGAGCTAATACTTTGCCTCAGGGTTGTGCTAACCTGACTTTACAGAAATGCTTACAGCATCCCTAGCCTCTGTCCTCCTATGCTTCCCATGCCCTAGTTGTGACAACCAAAACGATTCCAGATATAGACAAAAGTCCCCTGAGGGAGCATTTACTGCCTCTGACTGAAAACTACCAACTAATGTATAACGTTTTTAAAACCTTGAAGTCTCAAAGGATGAAAACAAACCAATCTCACATACATCATAGCATCAGGTTTTCTACCACATGAGTGAGTAAGCCTAGAAGATCTGAATATAAGAATCTGATTTAAATTTTTTAAAGGAAGAAAAGAAATTCAAATTAAGCAATGGTTTAGAACCCAATGTTTAGCTTGGAATGACTTCCCTGACAGACTAGGGAACTAGACAGGCTTAAAGGCAGTTTAAGAATTAAAGAATGGATTAGCTCTTATACAGAGTTGACTTGCCAATAAAAGACGTGAATCTAGTAAGTGGTTTATACGCAATAGTATGAAGTTTACACCCTCATGCCTCATTCCCCACGGGTAATTAATGGAAGAGAGACGGCTGCAGTGTTCCTGGGCTGCTGGTCCCTATATAACAGTGCCAAATTTCTCCAGGTGAGTGCTTACCGGTAAGGGATTGGATAAGGAATGTTGCGGTGAGGATCGTGCAACTGGTGGAACACTTCTGCCAGGGCTGGTTCCTGGCCCGCTTCCCCCAGCAAACTGGCCAACAGGGAAAAATGGATATGAATAATTCAAAACAGTACCATGCTTCAGAAGGTGAGTAAAAGATTAATATACAAACAGATTTTAATTATACATGGCCCCTTTAAGTCAATACATCTCATTCCAGAGAGAAAATGCCATGTAAGCCAAATATATCTTTTCAATGAGATTTTTGAGGAAGAACTCCCAAAGAAATGTAACAAGATATACAGAAAACATGGGTAGAAAGCTGAAAGTAAGCATGGTTTTGGACAGACATGAGAGAAGAATGCCTTTATTTTTTTCGTGGTCTCAAAATACATGAAGCAGAAATAGAGTAGTGCAGAGGGTGTTAGTCATCTTTAGTAACCACTTAACAATGAGTCGCTGAGCTCATGACATATTCCACTAGGCTAAGGGAAAGGACCAAAGGAGATTCACGCCATCACACCTTAGTCAGAGACACAAAACCTAGTCTGGCCAAGAGAAAGTGCACTTCACACATGAATTCTTCTATCATCACAGACAAGACACATGATACAAACTTTACACCTAGCAAATCAGCAGCAGTTTCTTCATATTACGAGATGGGCAGCATTAGTTTGATGAAGATGGAAACAGAAAGGGCAAGATCACAGTAAAGGCAAATTGTTCTCTAATGCCTTAAATGAACAAGAGGATTATTAAGTTGCTTAAAGTCACTGGAGATTGTTTATTTACCCCCAAATTTAACTTACCTCAAAGTAATCACTAATTTTATGTCCCCTAGGAGTGCCTTTCCCTGAAAATGAAACCACAGTTAAGTACAGTTTTTCCAATGCACACGTAAGCCATCATCAGTGAAATGTGTTAAGTAGTAAAAGCTCAGTAACTGATCACAGCGCTGTCAACTCCAGAATCAGATTTACTTTTACTTTTAACAAACATAAAAAACCTGTACACTAAGGTTACTCTACCTCCTCCTCCATATACAAAGTAACTGAATGGGCACTGATGGGAAGAATTTTTCAGCTTGTTTTAAATGCAATAAACTTTCTTTTATACATATTTATCCATAACAAAATCAGGAAACAAAATTCTTCTATAATCTACATTCCAATTTAAGAGACCAAAATTCAAAACAAATGCATTAGAACTATAGAGCTGATCCCACTTCACATAATTGTGTCACTTTGGGAGACTTTCCTTACACAAGACAGAATGACTTACCTATACATTTTTAAAAGGAAAGAAAAAAGATTGGGAATCCCAGCCGTTAGACAAGACAGGGAAAATCTAACACTTTCCTTGATTATATATTTGATGATGGAACTATCATTGTTATAAATTTCATCCCATGGGCTCCAATGGAAGAGCAGTCCTGTAGATGAAACCATTTCTTGCTGCTGCTGCTGCTGCTGCTGCTGCTGCTGCTGCTGCTGCTGCTGCT